AAGCGAGGCCAGCAGTTCATGAACGGTTGGGGCGCCAACCTGGGACGCGACCTCCGTGAGCGCAAAAAGGCCCTGCTATCTGCTATCCAGGCCCTGGACCTGCGCGCCGACGCGACCGGCCTCTCTCCTGAGGGGTGCCTTTCCCGTTATGACTTGGAAGACCACTCTCTATCATCTACTCTGACGAGGAGGCCTACGGGCGGTTTGCATGGTGCCCAGAAATGGGTGTTGAAGGGAGATGCAAACACGGCTTACTTCCAGGCCATAGCGAATGGTCGTCGTAGACGTAACACCATCCCCCTCCTCTGGGATGGCCCGACTCTCCTGCAGTCCCTGCGCGACATTAGGTCCCATGTCGACGGGTTCTATAGATCCCTGTTCGCAGTCGCTCCTCGGGGCGGGTTATCTCTGGCCCAGGACTGTTAGACCGGCCGACAGCTTGTCACCGATGCGGAGAACGCGGCTCTTACAGCCCTTTCTCCATTGTTCTTGTTCAATATGGTGGTGGACGCGCTTGCAGCCATCCTGGACAAGGCCAAGGCTGTGGGCCATATTCGTGGGATCACCCCCCACTTGGCCGGTGGCTCCGGCATCTCCCTGCTCTAGTACGCCGATGACACCATCATCATGGTCGAAGGCTTGGGCGCAGACATCGCTAACCTTAAGTTCCTCATTCTCTGCTTCCAACAAATGTCTGGCCTCAAGATCAACTTCGACAAGAGTGATGCGATGGTGATGGGCTACTCTCCGGCAGAGGCCCTCGACATTGCCAACCGCCTTAATTGCCACCTGGGCTCCTTCCCCACAACCTACTTGGGAATGCCCATTAGTGACTCTCGGCTTACCGTTGCTGACTTGCGGCCGACCGTGGCCAAGTTGCAAACACGCATTGAGCCTTGGCAGGGTAGATGGCTGTCGAAGGCGGCTCGGACGATTCTCATCAACTCCTCCCTCTCCAGTCTCCTCTTGTTCCTCATGAGCTTCTACAGCCTTCACGAGACTCTCCACCATGAGATCGCCAAGGTCCAATCTCGCTTCTATTGGGCTGGTGACAACAATGAGCAGAAGTACCACATTGTTAGTTGGCCCGACATCTGCAAGCCCCGGGAACAAGGAGGCCTCGGTATCATGTGCTCAAAGCACATGCATATTGCCCTCCTTTCCCGCTGGCTCTGGCGCATCTCGCAAGGGCACGGCGGGCTGTGGTTAGACATCATCCGGAACAAGTACCTGTGTGGCCAACCACTGGCCTTCTGTCAACGGTCCGGTGGTTCCCAGTTCTGGCAGTCAGCATTCAACTGCTCCCCGTTCTCTGCATTGGGACTTCCATATCGGTCGGATCGGGATCTATGACCTTGTTCTGGTTTGACCGTTGGGCGGGAGACACCCCTTTCGCGGCTCGTTTCCCCGCCCTCTTCTCCATCGTTGTCATCCCCTCGATCTCAGTTGAACGGGCCCTTATTGACTTAGGACGCCTCGCGTTCTGGAGGCCATTTGGGCCTCCGGAAGCCGCCGCTTGGCATGAGCTGCTCGATTGCGTCGCTCTGCATGAGCCGGCTGTTGATGCGGGCCCGGATGAGGTCCGGTGGCGCCTTGAGCCTTCTGGCCAATTCTCCACCAAGTCCCTCTATTCGGCCATTGCCCCCTCCTCCGCCCCTCCCCCCTCCCGGCGGTGTGGTCCATTCACCTGCCTCTGAAAATCCGGATCTTCATGTGGCAATGGATCCGCGGGCGGCTCCCGTCTGGGGTGGAAGTCCGCAAACGCAATGGTCCTGGCTCCGGACTTTGCCCGCTCTATGGTACCCCCGAAGATTCGAACCACATCTTCTTCTCCTGCATGTCTTCTCAATTCATTTGGAGTTGTTTTAGAGAAGTTGTGGGCGGTGATTGGTGCCACACCAACTTCCCCGACCTCTTCGCCGAACTCCAGACTTCCCCCCTGCCCGCTCGCCACATTAGGTGGCTTGAGATTGGGGCTCTCGCGTGGACCCTCTGGACTATTCGCAATAAGCTTGTGATTTAGTGCACTCCTCTTTGACGGGCTACTGACGCTCTCTTCAAACTTTCTGGTTACTTGCAGCTTTGGCGGCCGCTTAGCCGCCCTCGGGACCGGGACGCCATCTCCGCCTTCATCGCCGACCTTCGCTCGATGGCCGCCTGCCTGTCACCGCCGCCCCTGCCGCCACCTTCGGAGCCAGATTAGATGCCTGGCTTGCTCCCCGACCCCGGCTCTGGCCTCGACCTCTCCTTTTTTATGTTTTTTGGGCTTGTTGAGCTGTGCCCTCAGCAGAACCTTTGTACCTCTTGTTGTGTGACTTGGGTGTGTGTGTCCTGGACTAGTCTGTGTATGTGTGCTCTTGGCGGTTTGCTTTATTTATAAAGCGGGGCGAAAGCCTTTTACGGTATTGGCTTGTACATCGTAAGTGTTACACAACTATTCTGCTACTTTTGGACAGATAGTCGCATAGAAGCATTTTTTCACAGCTAAGACAAATTATTAAATTGGAGCTACAACACAATAAATATGTGGAACAACAACAATAAACTAATCCTATTTATAGTTACTAAGAAAATCAAGAGTGAAAACTGAAATTTATGTCTACTAAATAATTCAGGAGCAGGGTAGTAGTTGTAGTATGCCATCGGGAGAATGTAACTGCTTTGATCTCATATGTTATATTCATGTGATAAGTTTAACCTTATACTGTGAAACAAATAATATAGCTTAAAATAAGGAACAGGTTTTCTTAACCGCATCAGATATCAACGTTTGTTTATTTAAAACACAAGTACAAAATCTGGTATCTACCCCTGAAATATTCCATACCGCTAAATCTATTATCTGGGGCCGTTTTGATTGCCTCTGAAACTGTCCCAAGGTGTGATTTAGATGGTAGTGGAGATTCTTTTTAACGGGCAAACACCTGATTACGCAGACAAACCTCGATCGTATGGGGTGTTAGGGGAGACTTCTTCCTAGAAATTATTGTAGATAAGTATAGATATATACCTGCTCCACGATGACGGGGTCATCCCTGCTAATGTTGACAACATAATTAAGCAATGGATCCAGATCATCCCGCACTGCTACATATCCATCCCGCGAGGTGGTGGGTGGAAATTGATTAAGCAATGGACAGACAGACGGCCATCGAGCGAAGGTCGGCGATGAAAGCAGATATGGCGTCACGGTCATCAGGGCGGTAAGCGGCCGCCAAAGCTGCAAGAAACCAGACAGTTTGAAGATAGTGCCAGTAGCCCGTCGAAGAGGAGCGCGCTGGATCACAAGCTTATTACGGATTGTCCAGAGGGTCCAAGCGATGACCCCAATCTCAAGCCACCTAATGTGGCGAGATGCCAAGGGGGAGGACTGGAGCTCCGTATACAGGTCGGGGAAGTTGGTGTGGCACCAATTTCCACCCACCACCTCGCGGAAGCAACTCCACACGAATTGCGCGGACACACAGGAAAAGAAGATGTGGTTCGAGTCTTCGGGGGTGGCGCAAAGCGGGCAAAGGCCAGAGCCCGGGACATTACGCTTGCGGACCTCAACACCCGACGGAAGCCGCCCGCGAATCCACTGCCACATGAAGATCCGGATTTTCAGAGGCAAGCGGATGGACCACACCGTCGCAAGGGGGGAGGGGCGGAGGAGGGGGCGATGGCATGGTAGAGAGACTTAGTGGAGAATTGGCCCGAAGGCTCGAGCCGCCATCTCATCTGGTCCGGCCCACCGTCTCCCATAGGCTCGTGGAGAGCCACGCAATCTAGTAACTCACGCCAAGCAGCGGACTCCGGGGGACCAAAGGGCCTCCGGAAAGCAAGGCGCCCTAAGTCAATAAGGGCCCTCTCAACTAAGATCAAGGGGTCTACCACTATGGAGAAGAGGACGGGGAAGCGCGCAGCGAAGGGGGAGTCTCCGGCCCATCGGTCAAACCAAAACAAAGTCTTCATGGCGAACCCCACCGAGATGGAAGTCCCGATGCGAAGGACCGGGAGAAGCTGGACGACCGACTGCCAGAACTGCGAGCCACCAGTTCTCTGACAAAAGGCAAGGGGTTGTCCACGTAGGTACTTGTTCCGGATGATATCGAGCCAGAGACCACCCTGGCCGCACGAGATGCGCCAGAGCCAGCGGGATAGGAGGGCGATATTCATGCGCTTGGAGCACATGATACCGAGGCCGCCTTGTTCCCCGGGCTTGCAGATGTCAAGCCAGCTGACCATATGATATTTCTGCTTATTGTTGTCGCCAGCCCAATAGAAGCGGGACTGGATTTTGGCGATCTCATGGTGCAGAGTCTCGTGAAGGTTGTAGAAGCTCATAAGAAACAAGAGGAGGCTGGAGAGGGATGAGTTTATGAGAATAGTCCGAGCCGCCTTTGACAACCACCTACCCTGCCAAGGTTCGATACGTATCTGAAGCTTGGACATGGTCAGGCGGAGGTCCGCGATGGTGAGCCGAGAGTCGCTAATGGGCGTTCCCAAGTAGGTCGTGGGGAAGGATCCAATGCGGCAATTGAGCCTGTTAGCAATGGCAAGTGCCTCGGTCTTAGAGTAGCCCATCACCATGACATCACTCTTGTCAAAGTTTATCTTAAGGCCAGACATTTGCTGAAAGCAGAGGAGGAGGAGGAACTTAAGATTTGAGATGTCCGACTCAGAGCCTTCGACCATGATGATGGTGTCATCAGCATACTGGAGGAGGGAGATCCCAGCGCCGCCAGCCAGGTGGGGGTGATCCCATGAATGTGGCCAGCAGCCTTAGCCTTATCGAGGATGGCGGCAAGCGCGTCCACCACCATATTGAACAAGAAAGGGGAGAAGGGATCGCCCTGTCTAACCCCACAGAGTGTGGGGAAGTAGGGGTCGATGTCCCCATTGATGTTCACCGCAGTGCGACCGCATGAGACCATCTGCATAACTCTGGTGATCCATCGGTCGTCGAAGCCCTTCCGGATTAGAACTTCCCGAAGGAAGGGCCAACTAACAGTGTCATAGGCCTTATGAAAATCAATCTTCAAGAAAACCGCCTTGAGGTGTTTAGAACGGACCTCATGGAGGACTTCATGAAGAACAAGCACCCTATCCAGGATGTACCGTCCCTGAATGAAGGCGGACTGGTTGGGGTGGGTAATGTGGTCAGCGAGGAGGGTCACCCTATTGGCGCACCCTTTAGCCAGAATCCGGAAGATCACGTTGATGACCGTGATCGGACGAAACTGGCAGCTGTCGGAGGCACCCGGGACCTTCGGGATGAGCGAGATAATCCCATAGTTGAGGCGCCCGAGGTCGATGGATCCAACATAGAACTCATCGAAGATGGCCATGACCTCAGGTTTAATCACGTTCCAGAAGGCCTGGAAGAATTTAACCGGAAGGCCGTCAGGGCCTAGAGCGGAGGTGGGATTCATGCCTCGAATCGCGGTCCAGACCTCGCCCTCGGAGAACGGGGCCGTGAGGGCCGCGTTTTCCTCATCAAAAACCAGTTGGGCACCGGTCCAGCAATCAGTCGCCAGGGAGAGGCCGCTCCTAGGAGCGGCAGAGAACATGGACCTATAGAAACCGTCAACATGGCTACGAATGTCGCGGGGATCCTGCAATAGGGAGGCACCATCCCAGAGGAGGGGGATGGTGTTGCGTCTATGTCGGCCGTTCGCGATGGCCTGGAAGTAGGCCGTGTTCGCGTCGCCCTTCAAGACCCATTTCTAGGCCTCGCGGAGGCGCCAATACGCCTCCTCATCAGTGTAGATGACGGAAAGCTGGTCTTCTAAATCGTAGCGAGAGAGCCACTCGTCCGGGAAGAGGCCGATTGAGTCAGCCGCAAGTCCAACGCTTGGATGCCGGCCAACAAGGCCTTCTTACGCTCGCGGAGGTCACGCCCCAAGTTAGCACCCCAACCCTTCATGAACTGCCGGCCACGCTTGGCGCAGAAATGCCAAGAGTCAATAGCCGAGGGAGGGCGGGGGTGGGGGTGGCCACGGGCCTCCACCCAGCGGGCGCCAGCAGCCTCCACAAAACCGGTTTGGGATAGCCAGAATGTCTCAAAGCGGAATCTAGGAGGAATCAGCGGCCGCTCGTCGACGGAGGAGAGGAGGGGGACGTGGTCGGATCCAATCCTGGTGATGGCACGAATGGAGGCTAGAGGGCAATGGAGGTCCAAATCCGGGGAAACTAGGACCCTGTCCAGAACGGACTGGGTTGGGGAGGCCTGGCGATTGGTCCAGGTAAACCTGGCACCAATCCTATCAATCTCAAGGAGGCCAATGTCAACAATGCAATCATTAAACATTTGCATCCATGCAAAGTTAATGTTCGCGTTGCTCTTGTCCTCCACGAAGCGGAGGAGGTTGAAATCGCCTCCAACGACCACCGGGAGAGAGGCCGCCGAAATCTTCCGGTGGATCTCCTCGAGGAAGGACGTAGACCTACTATGGTCGGCCGGGCCGTAGACAATGATGACCTCCCACTTGAAGTTGAGAGACCGTTCAAAGAGTTCCATGCTCACAAAGAATTGCCCCCGATCCATGCTCCCCACCTCGAAGGTGGCATCCTTGACACCTAACAGGATGCCACCCGAGTGGACTATGCTCCCACTAGAAGGGAGCCAATGCCAAGCAAAGAGGTGAGAGCTCATACGGTCAAGCTCCAGGAGAGAAAATTCTATACGCACGGTTTCTTGGATGGTGACAATGTCAATGTGTTCATCATGCATGTATTCCACGAGTTAGCGGCATCGGCCATCATGGACGAAACCGCGGATGTTCCAGAAAAGGGCCCGCATTAAGGCGCCATTGGGGGCTGCTTGACCCCAGGACACGGGATGCGCTTTGGGCGCGGAGGGCGGTGGTGCGGGACCGCGTACGACCATGAAGCTCGGTCTCGGCGAGGGGGAGGAGGCCGCTGGGCCGTCTAGGTGGTGCTGGGGAGGCGACTACCACAGAAGGGGAGGGGTTAGCAGGTGAGAGCAGAGCCGCGTGGGCCTCCGCTAGCCTACCGTCGAGGATCTCACGGGCCTTGATGGCCTCGATTTGGACTAAGGGGTTAGCAGCCTCCCCCCTGAAGATTATCGCGGAATCAGTCGCCACCTTTGTGAGGTGACCAAGAGGCACCGACTCGGGAGCAGAAAACGAGCAAGTAGCAGTAGAAGGGGGACAGAGGGGGTACCTGGCTCCAGGTTCCGAGCTGCAGCCCGGAGCTCCGCCCGGGCGGGAATGGGCAGAGCCGGACTGCCGTCGGGATGCGCAGCGTCGAGCCGGGCGATCCGGCGGGAAGCCGTCACCGAGGAGGAGGCAGACCAGCCACGGCGGGAGTAGGCCGCGATCCGCGGAGGGGGAGGCTGAGCGGCCACCGGGGTGGTCACCCGCATCTGCCGTTCCGCCTCAGGGGCCGTAGCGGGGGTAGGCCGGAGCACCAGCCCGGTGCAGTCGAGGAGCGAGGAAGGGGGTGGCGGAGAAGTCGGGGACGAGGGGTAGAGCGCCAGGTCGGAGACGGAGCCGGGGGGATGGCGGCAGGGGCGAGCACGAGGCTGAGGCCCAGGGCGAGCGGCGCTGGCGAGGCGGGTCGGTCGACGGGAGTCGCCAGCGGAGCCAACCCGACCGAGGCGGAGGGACCTAGAGGAACGATGGGGAGGCCACGGTGCCATCCACCCTGGTTGGGGACGGGACGACCTCAGAGGGGGCCAAGGGGCCCAAGGGAGACGGCGGCGACCCCTCCAAAGCCATCATGGAGCAGCCGACGACTGCTGGGGAGCGAGGAGAGGACGCCGGGAGGACCACCAGGCTGACGCTCGACGTGTCACTCCCATCCATGGTCTCGCTGCCCGGCACAGGGGAGGCATCCCGAGGAAACGGAGAACCAGGAGGGGGGCCGAGCAAAGCCTGACGGCTCTATGGTCCAACAGCGGGGGGAGGAGGCGACGGTGACAGAGAGCGGGAGCGCGAGTCGTCGGAGCCCGCATCATCATCAGATCGGTGGGAGCGGTGAGAGCGTGGGTGGTGGCGGCCATGGTAGTCGCCGTCGACCCCAGGGTTGCTACCGAGGGGGCCATCATCGGAGAAGCGAGGACGCCCAATGTGGTTGGGAGGCTCAGGGGCGATCCGGAGGTCAAAGCCCTGGTCGTTGAAGAACACCCGGATGGTGGCCCGAAGCTTAGAGGAGTCCAGACATTTGACCTTGACGCGGACCTCCTCCTCTTTGCGGAGGGAGAGCTCGTCCACCACCACCACCTTGCCCAGGATCCGGGACATCTGGCAAATGACCACCTCAGACTGAGCAATGTCTGGGAGGCCTCCCACCAAGATCCAGGCCATGTCCAGGACGGCCACTGCCTTCGGGTCCAGGATCGGCTCAGTGATGTCGACGACGAGCTGGTGGAGGGCGAGGGTGATCTGGCCGCTGCGGGTGGCGTAGCCGTAGCTGATGGCGTCGGGGAAGATCACAGTGAAGATGTTGTCGGCGGTGGGAGTGACCACCCAGTCCCACTGACGCCGGTACAGGTGGTTGAGCTCCTCGATCATCTCCGGGGAGGCCACTCCATCCACCACCGTGACGACCGCCTGGAGCGACGGGGTGGGGGAGGAATGTCCAGCACCTCGAGGTGGAAGAAGCCCAACCCCTCGATACCATGACCGTACATCATGAGCTCGGCCGGTATGAGGTGATCCGGGCACAGAAGGGCGGGGTGGCCCGGGTCCTTGCAGATATAGCAGCATTGAGGGTTGACGCAGGAGACTTCGGAGTGACCCGCCACCCCGCAATTGTAGCACGGGGGGCGAGGGAGACCGGACACCGGACCCGAAGCGGACGAGGAGCCCGGGCCTAGCGGAGCGGGAGTGGGCAAGATGCGGCGACCCTGCCCACGACGCTTCTTCTTCTTTGCTTGACCTTGGCGGCCGCGGGCGGGAGCGCCACCCGCACCCGACCCAGCCGCGGAGGAGGCATGCGGGGAAACATAT